GATTTGATTTGAAACTGTCTCATTGCTATCTGTTTATCAATAAAATTTTCAAATATAAAAAAAAGATAAGATGGGCCATTATCAGGGAAGCTAGTGTTCAATTTGCAACCCCTTTAGTTTTGGAGGGAGTCTCTCCCTTTGGTTTTGTAGGTAGTCTATTTGGCCCTGGATCTTGATTAAATTTAATAAGATTTCACTGAGTTTAAAAAGGGAAACAAAATTTTTGTAGATAAGGAAGGGAGGAAGTGTTGAAGGGAGAGTAGGGAATGGATAAAAAGTAGAAGTAGTATCATGTACAGGTACAGATTCTCCATGATGAATGTAATCATTATGTATACTTAAAATGTACCAATAAGCTTAAACTTGACTCAAGTATTCACAAACATAATTACCTAGAGAAATCAAGGGTTATCACTTCTGGAGATGCATCCGAGAGTGCAGGTGAAAGACAAACCAGTTCTCCTAGAGGAGCAGAATTCTCATGAGTGAGAGAAATCAGCTCAGGTCTTCTTCAACAGCTATAAAGAGTCAATAGAAGGCCATTGGGTAGAGCTCTTGGAGCTAAGTCCCCTGAGATACATCTACTAAAAAGGAATTGGTATAAGAGGACTTGAATCCATGAGTCTGCCTCAGAATGGGCTTTGGGGAGCTGACCTCACCTTTGGTTCATCTATTTTGAACCTTTAAGTGTAGACTCAGTAGCAGAGCTGGTAAGTGTCCGAGAAACGTGATCAGTCATTACAATAAGTACTTTACCTTTGATAAACTGTTCTGATTTTACTCATTGATATATTTTCCACTGAAGCATATATCACAAAGCCTGTCTCAAGACTGAAATAGTCTTCCTAGAACTGTCCTGATAGTTCTAGAACTTCCTTCACTGTACTATTAATGTAAAGAATATGATGAACAGTTTCATATTTGATTTCCACATAAACACTAAACTTTTTATACTAATTACATTATTAATGTCCATTCTCTATCTGTTACTGATACTTATTTTTTTAAACATTTTTACAAACCAGAAAAGTTAGTCCAATAGCTTCCTCTGAGCTAAAGACAGAATACTAGAAAATTTTTGGTGAAGTGTTTCAGTTTTCCTCTAGATTCTCTAAAAGTGATACTTCCAACATCCAAATAAATATTTTTTT